ATTTCGAGGCTCTAACATTGGATTCCTAGAGTATTCACTAGCTGGTGAAATACGAGCGTAAATACGAAAGTAAATACGAGTTTAAATACAAGTGAATACGGCTGGTAATTATTTTAAAAGAAATGGGGGGTTGTAAAAGTAAAAGTAAAAGTAAAAAAGAAAATTTACCTTTCCTACAAAATACTTTTGTGTTCATTATAAACACGTAGGAATTCTCGCACATCCCCGGTAATTTTCTGATTGAACCCCTTGTAATAAAATGTGCCCGTCGTATTGCAAGTCACGGGCGCTCTAAGTGGTGTGCGCACCAACTGTTAAAGTTAGGCAGCTCGTACAGCCCGTGATCATATGTCTTCAAAAAAAACAAAATAACGCACTTTTATTTGTCAGGGGTTGTACGACCCCTAATTAAAGTAGGCATATCACCGCTGGAAAGTTTGTCGCTTACGAGCAAAGCAGGAGATTCGTTAGTGCACTACAATGCCCCTACAGAAAATAACGAGTAGTGCACGACAGTCTACCTGTACAAAGCAGCAAACAATTCAATCCATAAGCTGCTACAACCCGCCACCGGATCTGCAACACTTGTACAAGCAGACAGAAGGCGTCTCTCAAATGAAATATTGTGTGCATTCAAATTACAATTACTTGCACAACTAACATATTTCAAAATCCCACTGCACCTACACCGTAGTTTGTATACACATAGGTACACTAAAAGGGAAAAATATAATCTCAACCCGCATGGGCCCCGGCGAGCGTGTTATTGGTACACACGCGACGCCTAGGGATGCTGCGCGGGTCAACAAGTGAATTCAAGTTCGAACTCGATCCTCCTATACGGACCAATAGGAGTCGACAAGATTCGAACTTTCAAACAAGCACACGGTCGCGACGACCGGTGTATTGGTTTTAATACATTCATATTAGGCCGTCAAGGCTCATAACAATGAAAATTCACTAAACAAAGTCATAAAGCCTACGAAACCCGATCCTTCTAAGTAGCTAAATAGGAGTAGACAGGGTTCGAATCATCGGATAAATATGCGGTCACGGAATTGACCAAAATATTTATTTCATACATTTATATCAGGCCTTCAAGGCTTTCAACAAAGAAAATTCACAAACAAAAACACAAAGCCTACGAGGAACCCGATCCTCAGTCAATAGCATGGCTGAGTTGACAAGGTTCAGTTCATAAGAGAAATGACCTCGACTATACCCCGATGATGGCCGTGTTGAATGTGAATCTCAACCGAAGGGGTTAATCTCTCATATATTTCAAAATGTCCTAAAATTTCTACAAAATCCAAATTCCACAAAAATCCAAAAAATCATCAAGCTCTAAGATATTTAAATTTGAAACTAATCATCAAAACATTTAAGGCAAAATTCATCCACCCTCCGCAACAGTTTGTTAGGGTGGACAAGTTA